ATTCACCGCTACAGCAGTTACTTTAGCTATGCCAAGATGTAAAACTAACTGCTATGTCGGTTAATAAGTTCACGTTATAAAATCCTGATTTGAAGCGAATACACTTTTCTTTGAAATAAAATCTTAAAATACGTTTTATGAATTTCATTCGACTACTTATGTACAATTATCATACAGATCTTGATGCGCCATCGCGAAGTAACCCGGTGGACAGAGAATGGTTGCATTGGATCGTTGGGAACATCCCTGACAATAGGTTGCATTCAGGACAAACGATAGCAGAGTATATAGGACCAACTCCAATGCACGGAAACGGTAAGTAAAATAGATGCATTTTACTTTGAATTCGGAATCATGAATTTAATTTTTTAAAAATTCTATTGAGCATCTGGATTAGAAGGTTTTAGTTACAAATATGTTCAGATACGGGTTATTATCAAACGCACAAAAGTAAGATTTTCAACAAATGTTTCCTGGATGACGGAAAAACTAGTGGTGATGGCAATGTCATCTATGATCAAACCCAAAATTTGAATATTGTAGAAGTGATATATTCGTTTAAATGTAGATTATAAAATTAAAGGTATGGATGAACAGCTCGCATGCAGTAGTAATCGAATGATGAAAACTAAACAGGCAAATGTAGTTTTAAAACCTTTCTTGACCTTTAAATTAGAAAATCTGAGAATTATTCTTTCCCGTATGTGACTATACTGTGAGGACGCATATTAAGGTGAATCTTCAGCTGCGCGTAGTGAGAAATATGTCCGCGCAGAGGGGGCCAGCGCTGTGTTTTGATTTTAAGGGTCACGTTATTAGAGTACGTACAGCTTGACGTGAGTCCTTGAGCTTGTATGAAAATCAAAGAAAAATCTGTTAATATCGAAGAGTCACAAGTTCTATGACATTCATTTTCCTTTTGACACTAAATAAGATATAAAAAGTAATTTCTGAAGCTCCATAACTCGATCCCAGAAAAAAGTAGGGTTAAGCAAAATGACCACGATGCGACCAATCACTAGTGATCTCTTTCAGTAGTTGCAGATATCTCTCTTCCACCGTGAACTCCCCCTCTCGTACTTACAGGCATCCGATAAGAGAAGCTGGTATCAAGTTTTAGTTTTTATTATTAAACTTTCAAAGTTCGTGTTTGTTTTTAAACATTCTAGACATATCCTGCCAGAACTCACGAGTCTTAGAATTTAGTGCATCTATAATGATGAAGAATCACTGATTTCGGGGACCGATTTTAGCAGCGCAACGTTGTGGATTTTTTCGGAAGTACAGCTGAAGATTCACCTTAAACGATGAGTCGGCGTAAAAAAAGACCAATTTTTTTGAGATCATAAATATACCTCACATTATTTCCCAAAGATAGAACGGAACTCCATTTGTTCTCCTTTGACTCTTAATGCCTATGACTGATACTTGAGAGATTCCGTAAATTCACTTAGATTATCTCAAAGATAACAATCACCGATACGCCTTTACATTTTTTAGGTACTCATAGATTTGTATTCCAACTGTTTCTGCAAGAAGAAGGGAAGATCCACTTTGAAGAGACCTATCTGACCGCTAGGTAAATATTTTTGGTTTATTTTCTCTATGCCAGAACCTTTGAAACTGTCTAGTGCAATTCAATACGGGACAAAGAATAAGCATAAATCTCTCTTGTCCGCAAAAATATTCTATGAAAAAGAGCCATGCAAAAAGAGGCTATTCACTCTTATAAGATTAGCATCAAACCAGCGGTGAATGGAAAATGAAGCTCAGACAATGTATTTCAGGAGTTTCTTTCACACAATTTCGAGCACAAATATGTGAGATGTCTTTTACGTACGCCTAAGTGTGGTTTTGCACCTTAAATAGATAAACAAAAAAATTAGTTGACTTTTTCATAGTTCTTAATATTTTTAGATATTTTTGTAGGACAGCGGGAATGATTGATACCGATATCTCCCTATCCTTTACCTCAACCCCCCCTCTCTTTCACCCCTGCTTCTCTTTCCCCCGCCTTACCAATTTACCTTTCATACTGTGTTTTTGAATATTTATCGGTCACGTACGGTAAATAGTGGACACATCGTCTGAACATCATTGGGTGACACGTAACTATATTTCATATCACTGTCATTGAGGTAAAATTATCATCTACTTGAATATATCAAAAAAAATTGCCAGTTAGAAAAATTTGAATGATTGAAAAGATTGAAACCATTCAAAATTGGCTCCACATTTAATTTTGTACATTGATAATCCCCGAGGGGCTTCCGGGAGATAGGGGACTTTGGCGGCTAGGCGTCGTAGAGCGCCAGAGAGCGCTATAAATGCGGCTTTTACGTAAATATTTTGACACCTTGTTACACCAGATCTTTGAGTATTTTACATTTGTAGCCATTAAAGTGAAATAATTTAGTTGAAAGTTTTTCTGCAAAACTTTGCCAAGCCAAGACGTGCAGAATATTCCACGAGTACATTCCCGTAGGCGCAGTGTAGGCAATTTGCGCATCGGTTGTATGCGCAAAGGTGTAGCGTTAGAAGTATTTCTACGATGTTGAAGGCGCTATATACGATGCGTGCCTGGAGCGCGTGTTTAATTGCCCATTTGGTCAGTAGAACCATTCAAATGGCAAAATTAAAACCATTCAAAATTCATTCTACATTTAATTTTGTATTTTAATAAATACAGACGAAATCTTTCACTATTTCACATTTGTAGGCACTAAAATGAAATAATTTTGTCCCTGGAATTAAGTAGAAGCACATGTTTTCAAAGAATTTTCTCTCAACAGGGCGAATGATCCGAGAAGAGCGAAATTTTCATCAAAAGAATTTGCCAAGAAGTATAGTCTAGGCCGACCGCATGCCGTGAATTATTTCTTGGTAACATGGCCGGAGGAGCAGGAATTAGAGGAGGGCGAGACGCCAGTACAACCCCCAGTAATTCCTATGACCACAGAGGAGTATACTGAAATTGATCTTCTGAACTGGTGACGTAAAAACGTGTGGTACCGTCTATTATGTCTCAAGCAATAAATTGTTTGGTTACTTTTATATTGTAGTAGATTCGATCGACAAACGCGTTGGTCGGCGGTGACGGGGACTTGATGCATTTTTTTAAACTTGATGGATGTCCGTATCGCACCGACTGAACTGCGAAACCACGTATCTCCATTGCGGTGTTTCAAAATTTCCGTTCTTAATTCATCTCTTCCATGAGGAACAATCCGAATTTACGACTTCAAATTTTGAACCAAATCTTATGTTATCGAATACGAAAAATCATGGAGAATTTAAGTTTTATGTTGACCAGCTTCTTGAAAGAAAAATAAAATTTCTAAGGAAGTCTGCAACGTCGCAAATGGAGAAACGTCGTCTCTCATCATGCCCAAAAATAGGTATGTATAAAATTGAAGGCATTATGACTGACCTCTCTCAACTTAAATTCGTATGTAACGATAAAGAATGGGACGCGTTTGCTACGGCGCCTTGATACAACTATACAACCTCGACGGATGTCCGTATTGCGCTCAAAAAATTATAGGCGTTTTGACCTCCTACGCAAAAAGAAAAAATCAGTGATATTCCCTGTCAGAAATGTCGCAGAATCTCCCACTCAATATGCAATTTGAGAGGAGAAATTTGGCAACATTGAAATGAATAGTTAACTAGTTAAATAGTTCTGATACTCAACTACTAATGATAAGAGTGAGTAAGAGGTGAAGAAGATGAAAACATGAGAAGAACTTAATGTAATCTTAAAAAATATAGCTAACTATCTACAAAGACACTTGCCTAATCACTTAAAATTAGACAAAATTAGATACTGCACATACAATGAGATTAGGTAAATAAACCGTGTATACACAGAAATATGTCTTTTTAGTTCATTCAATGAGTTACTAATTCTTATAGAGAAAAATGACTAAATTAGTCATATACAAAATCGGAAATCAGGTCATGAGCCTGCAAAGTAGGTTGGAGCTATCGAGGAGGAATATGGCCTCCACATAAGGATGCAAACCCAAGCGGCGTTCATAGTTTTCCGTCAGATACCGAATGTGATTCTTCACTGACACTATGCTTAAGTCCCATCAGAGCAGTTTTTATAATACTACTCGGCATTAACCATCAGTCTCAGAGTCACATTCTGGAAAGACTGGATCCGTTTGATATTACTGTCCGCAGCGCATCCCCAGAACATGCAGGCATAACTCCAAACGGGCCTTAAAATGCATTTGTACAGGAGAATTTTTTTATCAAGGAACAGCTTGGAACTCCGTCCCAATAAGCAGTGCATCCTCCCCCATGTTTTTGATAGTATTTGCGAAAGAATTCTGTGAAAATATTGACCCATAAGGTACACAAGTTTTTCTACGATGATACATTGTTTCCAAAAAATGTAAAATGGCGTTTACGTTGCACGGCAGAAATCTAGATAAGCCCAGCAAAAATTGAATGCTCATAGTTGCGCCCAGGCTCACCTAGTTTCGCCCGGGCAGGACTAGATTTGCCCGGAAAACGGGGTGTGCCCGTAATATATCCATGAAAAGAAAGCTGCAACTTCCAAATTCCATATGCTTGTCCACCTAGTTTCTCCTCCTGGGACCTTGGTCCTTCCCTCCGAAGCAGATATCAATGAATCAAGAGTGGCGGTAGCCACCCCCGGTCGAGGAAAATGACGTCCTACTAAAGTCCCGATAACAAACGGGTGGCCGACACTCTTAGTCACAGGCAACTCCCTTAACTTGAAAATTGATTCGATTGCCATTCGACTGCAGCCCAAACGACGGCACGGATTCCTACGATCTTGGTGTCTACGGACGCATCTCAATTAGGACTACAAAGTGGAAGANTTGTAGTTTATTTAAATTTCTGTCAAAACGCGGGAGCGGTCTTACGCGTATCGCTTTTAACTTTCGTGTTCATCGGTGAAATTGAGGTTATGATCTCTTGTAGGTAGAGGTGGAGGTGGTATTGGCTTTTCATCCTCTTCGTAAGATTCTGGCTCCTCTGGCCACGTGATCAAAAAGTAGTTCACCGCATAAGGTCGACCCAGGTCATACTTCTTGGCGAATTCTCTCGATGAAAATTGAGCTCTTCGGAAGTCCAAAGCCCTGTTATGGGGAGAAAATTTACTAGGATTACAATTTGATTATATTCCTCGAACAATGGATTATACTAGGGGGCTACGCCCCCTGGCCGCTACGCGGCCCAACCCCCTGAAGGCGCTCCGCGCCATCAATGGGCCGCTTCGCGGCCCTATTTTTACCCTCCTATCGGTGTTAGTTTTATTTTTTCCCCTAAAAAATTACGATATAAGGTATACTTTACTTTTAGAATGAAATAATTTTTGGTTTTGATGAATAAAAAAACAAAATTATTATTTTGAAGTCTAAAGGACGCGTTTTGGAATGACTACTTGATGAAATATTGCAGTTAAACAACGAACATTGATAATCAGGTAATAATTAAGAGTTTCGGGAGACGGGGATCGAACCCACACCATGTTTAAAGTGGACGCTTCCGACGTCTTTAACGACTCGGCCACCGCTCTACCTGAGGCAGATGGGGCGAATCTTGTGTAGATAAGTGTAGAGCTGATGCGCAGGCCAGCGCAGGCTACACAGCTACTGCGGCGCAACCTCCTCGACCACTGCGCATCCTCCCGCGCATAGCGGTAGCAGTCTCGGAGCATTCTGAAAATTCACTCACTTTTATAACGTGATTGTAAAAAAACCTGGGTCCTATTTCCAAAATCTGAATAGAGCGGGCTCATCTAGGGCCAATTACCCGTCGATTACCGCAAAAAACTTAGAAATCGGCCCGGTAGAACGCTCAAACGAACTATGACAAAAAATATAAATTTACATTGTTTAAATGGGAGAATTCGCAACTTTACCACTTAATATAAAAAAACCTAGGCCATATTTTGAAAATCTGAAAAGAGTTGGCTTATCTAGAGACAATTACCCGTCGATAGCCGCAAAAATCATAAAAATCGGCCCGGTAGAACGCTGGAACTAAGCGTTACCAGTTTCGCAAAATTAGGAGGCTTGAGAGCTTATAGTATAGATTCCACGCATATTATTGAAAATTCGAATTTCGAAGGAATCTTTTGTTGTATTTAATGTGGAACACTTCACCCTAATTGCATTTCCGTGATAAGTTATATTAAGTTGGTTCTCAGTGGCAAATCAGCGCGTATCGAATACTGATTCCACGCGCAAAGGCAAAGCCTGGTTAACGAAGTTATACGCATGGACGTATTTCTGCCAAACGGAACTATGTGCATTATGACGTGAGCCCTTTTATGCATATGTTCTTATGGGTCTCAGGGCTCATGATGTCTTAATGCACATAGTTCCGTTTGACAGAAACACGTTCACATATTGTTCTAACTCATCACTTCGCGAGCTTGAAAATTCATCAATGGAGATATAACACTAAGAGAGTAAGCTTTCAGTCATTGAAACTGACCTATAAAAAAACCTCTGCAAAATTGTAACGCAACAATATGCAGATTAATAAATTTACGAACATCAATCAAGGTCAATTTGTCGTTCTCAGTATTATCTTGTCAATTTTTCCACTTTGGTCTTATCAGTTCCTGGAGCCAATTCTCTGAACAATAATTAAATTAACTCCAAAATAAGGAAATGGACGGGAATGGGGTGAACTCTTAAGTTTATAGAGACGCTCTAGGTCAGTGAATTAGTTTCCTTTACGAAAGCTGCATTACCTACACCTACCCCTTAGAATTCATCGGAAGATCGCTTTTTTCGGCCAACAAAACAGACCTACCTCTATCCTGAAGGACAAACTGAAGACAGCTAGACAGAATCTCGCTTTGGAAATTAAAATTTCTAAGAGAGACTCTTGGAAGAAACTCATAGGCGATCTTGACTCAAATCCATTTGGTAGGGCATACAAAGCTGTGACTTACCGCATTAAGAGAACCAAAAGACACGATACTCACACTCTATCTGAGATCGAAGTCAAACAATTTGTTACTAAACTGTTTCCCAAACACAAAGACATTGAATGGTTGAAACCCGAGGTTCTTGTAAAAGATGTTCCCTTGATAGAAGATGATGAGTTAAAAGACGCTTTACGTAGACTAAGACCAGGCAAGTCCCCAGGACCTGACTTTATTGACCCTATGATAGTTAAAATATTTATTAATTCCAATTTCAAAGCGATCAAAGACATGCTGAACGAACTGTTAAAAGCCTCTGTCTTCCCAGAAATATGGAAAACGGCTAGGTTAGCTCTTATCCCTAAACCTTCAACTACTCCAGATGTTAAATTTAGACCTATTTGTATGCTTAACTGTATTTCTAAAATTTTTGAATATATTTTATACGGTCGGATGCTTAAATTTGTGAAGTTATCTGATAACCAATTTGGTTTTAGACGTGGTAGGTCTACAGCTGATGCTCTCAAAGCCCTTAAGAAGATCTATGATGAGAACAGGCTAATACCCCGTAGACATAGGCAATCCTTATGTCTTATAGGTATTGATGTTAAAAATGCTTTTAATAGTTTAAGATGGGGGGATGTAATTGATAGTTTAGTTAAGAATCTCATCCCTAGTTATATTGTTGCAATTATACAGAGCTATTTATCTGATAGATATCTTATTGTTAACGAAGAGCTAATGAAATTATCATCAGGAGCTGCACAAGGCTCAGTAGTTGGTAGTTTATTCTGGAACTTAGTGTATGATGAAGTTGTTAGGATTAGAATCGATCCATCTAGGATAATTGCATACGCCGATGACCTCCTTGTTATCCTTAAGAGTTACCCTGAGAGAATTTTGGAAGAAAGTAGTAGAGTAACTAAGAAAATTGGCAAGAAATTAGAAGAGAAGGGACTTACCTTAGAGCCTGAAAAAACGGAGGCATTATTTATTGAAGTTCCAAATAAATTTAAAGATAGCAGAATTGTAGTTGATGGAGTAGAGATTGAGACTGGAAAGTCGCTTAGGCATTTAGGCTTTCATCTTAGTAAGGGTTTAAAAATGAATAATCATGTTAAAATTGTATGTACTAAAGCTAAAAAACTATCTAATATCTTACAGTCAATTGTTCCAAACTGCTTTGGACCTTCTTATGTGAAAAGACTTATGATATTTCAAGGTGTGTTATCTATTATTTTCTATGGCATCTCTGTTTGGGGGAATTTCCCTGAAATGAATCTAAAATGTAACTTGTATGAAATAACTAAAGCCATTCGTCCCATGAAGCGGGCCTTATGTATGGCCTATAGAACTGCGTCTACGAATTGTCTAGATATACTATCTGGTATCCCTCCAACGGACCTGTTATTGGAGGAGAAATATAGGAGGTCGAGAAAAGAGGAAGACTTTGTGGAGATCAACAACGATATTATTGATAGATGGTGTATCCGCTGGAGGGATAGCCCCACTGATGTTTGGTGCAAGCGCCTCATCCCGGATTTAGAGGTATGGCTTGATAGGGAATATGGTTATCCTGACTTTTACATGACGCAGTTCTTTACTGGTCATGGGGCGTTTGGGTCATATTTATCGAGATTTAAGATTATTGATAGTGATATGTGTAAATTTTGTACGGTGACCCGGGACACGCCGGAACATACCTTCTTTGAGTGCTCAAGATTCACAGCTGACAGAATGAGGATTCAAGCCGAACTGAACATTAATTTAAAACCAGACAATATTGTGAAAGAGATGATAAGTAGCAAGATTAAGTGGAAGATAGTGCATAATTACATTAAAAAAATTTTAACTGTTAAAAGTAGTGTATATAATAGTAGAAGACATGATAGAACGATAGTAGAAGCCAACCAACTCCCGGCCGATGATATACCTTCGGGTAATTCCGGCGTGTCTCGGATCACAGGTACATAAATATTTAAGAAATCTGTAACTAATAGCAAAAAATCAAATCTATTTCAATTACTTTTATTATCAAAATGTTTAATTAATAATACATGTAAATACTCTGTTAATAACTAAGTTATTATTAACTAACTAGTAGATGATTTAATTCTGTTCTAATCTAATCTTAATTTTACTCATTTAATTAAACATATTAACTATGTATTAAAAAAAAAAAAAAAATTACCTACACCAGTCGCCAATTCATTCTTGTTTAAGCCTGACGCAGTGCGTATCGCCGTAGCTTGTGGCCGTGGCACTAGCAGGGAAGTATACATTTTAGTATCTCACAGTAATGAAGGCAATTTTCAAGCTCTTCATCCAGCCTTAATCCTTAACGGACACAGAACTTATAAATAAGAACTTTTTGAAGTCATCCATCGAGGAGAGCGATTTCAACTAGAATTGAAGCAACTTTTTTCTGAGTATTTTCCAATCGAAAATCGAAAAATTTTTAATCGAAGGGGTTCTAAAACTAGGAGATATCCTTTAAAATTAAGACGGTGGGGGTGAGACAGGCACATTTTAAATGTAAGGAGTGCTCTCATCCTAACGCCTCACTTCTTTTATTAAACTGGATTTGTAATGAATCTTGCGCCACATTGCAGTCCCTACAAGTCCGATAATCAAACCTTCAGGAAACATATCCAATAAAGGCTTGATCATGAACGTATAATCGTATACTTAAAGTTTCTAGTGAGGCTGTAAGGTTCTTTTTCTTCTCCTTTCCTTCTTATACGAATTTTTCGTTTCTATATTGAATGAAGAATTCAAATTTTAATTTACCTTGTAGGACCAACTAGGTGGCGTTCATCAAAATTTATTTTTCCTTTTTTTTTGATGAATAATTGGAAAACATATCTATGAGTCCCTGAAAATTAGGAAAGATTATTTTTGTCACATAGGTACTTTCCAATCACTTGTAGTCTCTAAGACATATAGGAACGAAAGCTAATGGAGCAGGGATCAGAAGTAAATGTACATTTGAAAATAAATATTAGGCGCTTTTTTTTCTCTCTATCTCTCCAAAACTAAATGGTATCTTGGATTTGGTTAAATCTTCTAGACTTTTTGAAATTCCATCTTCTTCTTGCGAGTTTGTTGATGATTTTTATAACGGACCAAGGATGCGATGACTCCTGAGAATTGTTATTATGCATTTTTAACCATTTTCATTACAATGTTTTATAATTTGTTTCCACCAACGATCAAATTTTAGATGCTACGCCAGATATCATTATGATATTTAATGATGAAATTCCAAAAGAGTAAGTCCACAAGACGGCCCAAAATTTAGTGAAAAGATTTAATGAACACCAACAACTTCACTCATTGAAAATATAGCATGATGATACAATGTTACATTTTCCTTAAAAATGATAATATTTACGATCTGTGGTATAAAAAACAGCGCATTTGTCATTATCGCTCTTAGTTATTGACTGTTTTTCACCAAGGTCACCATGTAAAAAAATTATTACACGTTTTTTCTCCTCAACTCTCAATCATTAGGGCGTACATTAGTCCGATTCATCCCTCCTTCAAAAGTAAATTTGTCGTTCCTTACTCATTTTTAAACCGTTCAAGGTGAAAAAAATGACACGAGGTCTTATAAAACACTTACGTCAATGTAATTAATAGGGCCTTTTCCACTCACCGTTACCATGCATTGGTGTTGGTCCAAGGTACTCTGCAATTGTCTGCCCGGACTGTAACCTATCGTCAGGGATGTTTCCAACAATCCAGTGCAGCCACTCTCTCTCAATAGGTTGTTCTTGTGACATCACATCAAGGTCTGCATGAGGATTAAGAGTTAATAAAATTGTAGCTGATACATTAAAAAGGAAATACCTGAAAGTTTTACTTTAAAAACATTGGCATACATATGAAATAGCAAGTGAGAAAAAAAAGTGGCCCGAATACTGTATGTAACAAGGTGTAGAAATGGTGCTGGGTCCCCACCATTTCCATGCCATTTTCGGGTCTATCCATGACGGCGTTTTAATGCCGTCTTGGATTTTGCGGCATGTTAAGTTGGGTTCACTGACGAGTGTGATCAACTGATGAGGTTTAAAAAGACCCAAACCGGTATAGATCTCTCGCCGTGACTCCAACTTAATATTCCAATGCAAACTGCCTGAACTGAACACTCTCCCCCCTCAGTTTTGTACTGGTACTCATTAGGTTAAAAAGATTTATTTTTGACTCTAATTATAATTTTTGGAACTTCTTTGCTTTGATTTCCCCGCGAAATGGTGTAGACCCGGCACCATTTCTCCACCTTGAAATAGCAAGTACGTTCATTAACGAGCTATCAAACTCAGTACAACTTCAACGATGACACATTTAATGAGCAATGGTGGTGCATCAACATTTAATTTGGCAAAAATCACAGAAAAACAACAAAAGGTCAAAACTTACCGACAAAAACAATTGTGTGGAATGTGAGTTTGGGCTCATCGCTACACCACGACACCTTTTCTGGAACCACAGTAGCTACAGCCGACCTTAAAGTATTTCCAAAAGAAACGGTGAACTCATCTTCGTAAACCACCTGTTGAAGAGAAAATTGACAGAAAATGTGCAAGGACAGTCAATGTAGTTCCACAGTTCAATAGCTCTGAAATTGGTTTTCCTACGAAGCCCACAGGAGGTCAACGGGACAAAGGACCTTCGATGGAATTGAAAGATCTTTTTCGGAGAACACCTGAGCAGAAATTCTCTTCCATTTATTCTGTTTCTTAATCTGAGTATAACACAGTAAAATTAGTTAAGAATAAAATAAAAAAAAGCAAAGTGGACAAGTTAAGGTAGATTAATTAAACGAGATATTTTCCAAATAATAAAATTGCAATCGAAGAAAATGGTTTCATGCACCATATCTTGTATGCTTATATACATAAAACCAAACAGGATATGTGCACACATGCGTTTTCTTAGTTCAAAATATGATTTTCAAGACTTGGATATTCTCCTATAGCATTATCTTCATTCGTCTTCATTTTTTCATCTTTCTGCCTCGTTTAAATTTTTTACGCCATGCGCCAACCTAGAATTTGACCCAAGATTAGGAGCCGCTACTTCAGTGAGCAAAAAAGCGGAGAACACGTGAAATCATTGACTTCAAATTCAGTATTTCTTTTTTCGATTATTCAAAGATGTATTTATTCTAGATGTAATTTTCTGTTAGTAAAAATCGATGCCACAAAAATGCTAAGAAACTGTTTAGAGCTTTGGAAAACGGTAGGTGACATTAAATGCAATTAGTTGTCGAACGTGATATGTGGCCGTACAAGCCGAAGATTCACAGGAGAGCAACCACATCGATATGTGTCCCTAGCCTTTTTAATCATGAAAACAGAAAAGGAACTCATCGATTACATTAAACGACGTGAATAAAAATTTACGAACTTTCAGGAGATGCTCTGGACATTTATCCAAAGTTGGGAGATCAGGAATTATTTTATCTCTATGAAGTTCATACTCAATTGGCTCCATCATGGTGGTTGTTTCGTATTTAGAAGTCGTAATTCCCTTCTTGTGCATTTTGTGTTGTATAGTATTTCCATCCAGGGTGACACCGTGTACCATAATTAAATAAAAATTATTTTTGAGTATAAATACTCCTGCGAGAATGAGATTCATCACTGACAGAATTGCAAGCCGGATTAAATTCCTGTCAGAAAAAGGTAGAACATTTTTATGAAATATTTTGAGCTCTTATTCTATCTCAGTTTGTGACTTTGTAGACACTACCATGAAACCAAAATGCTGATTAATATATTCTTATATATATGATATGATCTTCAACATTAAAAGGGACCTTTGTCCACAAAAACTTAAAATCAAGTCGTTAGTGACCAAGCTTAAAAAAGAGTTCTACAAACATTTTTGGACATAAAATTATAGTACCTGTACCTACGCCCAGCATTTTGCCATCGCAGTCTGTTCAGTGCAGGTAAGCTTTACTGCTCTCTGACTGGTCTGCAAAATTTAGAATTTAAAGGACCCCTAACGGCTCCAAGTAAATAAATAACATAGTGACATACATCCACCCTTTGAAATTAATTCGCTAAAAAAAATGTAATAAATAATTTTGACTAGATCAAACTTCTTCTGTGAATATTATTTCTTCCTTCCTGGAATTCCTCTGGCCAGCTTATTTCACATAGGGCCGCGGGAACCTCATAAAACACCTTTTCTGATGAACCAATTATTAAAGAGCGGCACAAACATGGCAATACTTTCCCTAAAAAGGAGCTCCACTGTGAACGCCCGGAGATGACAAAACAAATTGGAGCTATGTGATAGGAGTTGAAAAATTCACTTACAAGAGTAATCATTTAAATTTCGAATATGTCATACTTAAGACACTTAACCATGGTCATAATAATACGATGTTCTTTTGGCGCGTATACGTAGTATACCGCCTTTGCGATCGTTTCGAACCCTGCTCGATACAATAACCGAGTCCCTTAGTTCCTTACCGAAAAGTGACTACCGCGAACTTCTGAGATTTTCCAAAGCGTGCAAAAAGTTTATTTATCCATCAATAATTATGATTTAAAGTTGTTTCTCATTCTGGGGGTCGCTAGTTTATGTGCAGTGAATACCAAGAGTCTACGTTACTTGGTTTTTTTAAAAAAAGCCTAAGAATGCGACGCGCTGATTTAAAATATGCACATATAAGCAGAATCAAGCGAACTGATTCGAGGATGGCTGAGCAGGTCGGCACTCTCGGAATGAGAATTTAACTCCTCCGTTTTGTTCAAAACGTTGCTTTGACAGATCTGTAACCTCGGTTATACTTTTCAAAAGTTGGTACCCGTCCTCTGATAGTGCAATCTGTGTAAGTGCAATCTGTGATGAGCCTCGAGACTCATTAGACCATTAGCTAAACGTGGCTCATACAGGAATCCACTTACCCCTCTCTTCCCCACGCTCCTGATCACTGCGTCGGCGTCTCGACGAACAATAGCTAATGACGGTCGCCAAGCGAGGCTGGGATCCTCAGCCCCTCGCCCAATTACTTACGCTTCATTAACCATTTCACCGTCACGCTAGGATTCGTCCAATTTTCAAAAAAAATTGTTTCGCGAGTTTTTAGCAATTTTTTCCTTACTCTCCGTTAAAACACGAATTAAAAGAGGTCTCATTCATAAAAATCGGCCAAATAGAAGAGAAGTTACAGTATTCGAAATCCGAAGAAATCAACAAAACTTCTCCAAACAAAAAATAAAATGAAGGGGGAAAAAAAAATGTATAAATTACAATTTAATATGATTGACCTCAGAATGTGACAAGCAATTCGATTATAAAAAGGAGAAAAAATTGAGTGAAATTACAAAAAATTAGCCTCTTGCAAGGGGCTTTCTTGTATGAGTTTTGACCTGAAGACAAGTAAATCCCGTTATATTATTAAAACGAAATTGACTCTATAGTTTAATGCCTTAGTTTCTTGAATACGATTATTTTAAGCACTCGAAAATTTATACCAGCAATTTTACCCATGGGGTGATTTCCTGAGAGCTGATAATATCACGAATTTCTCATAGAGCCCTTCAAAAATGGCTTGCTTTTTGGGCAGCCGATTCGGCCATCAAACCGGGGTTTAAATGGAAGCTGATAATAACACAAAGCTCTGAGAAAAATTTTGAGATGAGTATAGGAACGGTTTGTAAATTACGAGGAGAGGCGGGCATTCTGTTCAGCATATCGATAAATAAGTATTTTCACACGTAGAATTTAATTTTCACGTCAGGGAGTCGACATATTTTGATTTTTTTTATTTTATACGGAAAATTTATGGTTTTTCGGGATTGAAATTACTTACAATTGTTTCATGAAAAATGAATGCACTCAAAATGACTATAGCATTTTGACTTCCACATACGTGCACTCACTAAATTGATTGGTAAATTCAAAGAGTGGGTGCATCGACCTGGTATATCAACTTTCTGCGATTTTTTACGGCAAATCGGTAGATTTTCGGGATGTGGATTGTTTACTTTCAATTCATGAATGAATAAAGCATGGACATGGTTGAGCTTCTTTGCATGAAAAGACGTTTAAAATAAGAAAATCAAGACATATTTAATACAATTGCATTTATATCGAGTCAATTTCTTTTCAATAATATAACGGGATTTATAATACCGGTGATTTGGGTATTTTAGCCCCAAAATACCTTTAAATCGACTTTATCTTCTAGGAGTTCGACAGAATTTTTCCTTTCTTCGCTTAAATTTTTCCGTAGCACTTTTCTTCAAGAATCTGATAAGATTTTGCTTGAGGCAGATCAAAAAACTTAAATTTGTTCGAATAGCTTTCTAAATCCACAATACACGGTCTCGTGAAGGTGCGTCGTTGACCTTGCAGTGTTGGATCGTGAATTCTCTTGTTGTGCTGCTTGCCTATTTTGAAATCTCTGTAAATGAAAACTAAAGGGGTTGATATGTGCGAGTTAATGACGCGCCTTATCAACACATTGTGTTGGAGTTCACTGCTTGTTTTTAGTTATTGAAATAATGAACTGAATTTAAGGGGCTAAGGAATTTCAAAAATGTTTTGGGGGACTAAGAAGTCTTTTCCACCAAAAAATCGAAACGCTATAATTAGTCCCAACTCAACAAAAATCGTTCCACTGAAACACTTTTGCACCCGAGAACTGAAGTCCCTCTCCTCGTGGACAGAGTATTATGTAGACTGTGATAAGTGAACTCACTAAACTGAAAATTTCGTTACTGTTGACTGAAGCCCTTTCCGCCGGGGCCAGTCACTAAACTTATATGACCGTGAAAATTCTAATAGGCTTCAACCGAAAGGCATCTGCTATTTCAGTGAACTTAATACACAAGGTTCTTTCATCAAGACCTCTTCCATCTTTTATCTTTTCCTTACTTGTAATTTTTCCGGGGAGAAAAACGGAACAAAATGTTTAGAACTTAAGATATTAACTTACCGATATTGATGTGCGAATGGAGTTTATCCTTTGAATGTGCGGTATAATATAATACAAGATATCACGAACTATCAAAATAAGCACCTAATTAACATAATTTCCATTCAACTTTAATTTAACTTAAAATATTATTTTATGAATACTAATTTTTACATGTTTTGGTGGCTGGTATTTCATTTGCGCTGGATTTATAATTTGGTCTAATTTTGAGATGAGTGTACGTCATTATGAGAGCTACTGAAGTTATTATGGACGGAGAGAAGAGAGAGGAGCGTTTTTGACGATAAGAATTAATTGACCGTTGAGTTTCATTTCCGTGTTCTTGTCGTGTATGAGAAGTGAAAAAAAGAGAAATAGGTCAGAATTGAAAATGTCGTTCTTATATTTATTTACCTCCCATTCTTGAATAGTTGCAGCATTATTGACGATTGAAAAATTAGGTTGTCGCACTGCAAAGCCACTTATTGTAAAATATTTTTTACTAAATATGTGCACCATAACAACAACTTGATTGAGCAGCGTATTTAGATGTACTTAACAATGCATTTTGCATTGATGAAAAACTGCAATGAAAAAATTTAAAAGTTAAGTGTTAATGTAAAATAAATTAAAATACCAATTATATTCAGATAGAATTGGCAATCTTTAGTTTTAAAATATATAAAAATATAGAGATCTATGTTTAGATTTTAAGTTAATTCTTCTTTGCACTTATAAAATCATGGTGGGCTAATTTTAGATATTATTTTAAGCAATTGCATAGGTTTATTAGTTTTGCATGACATTTTTTCTTTTTTTTGGGGGGGGGGGGCATGACAAAACGTTTTATCAGAATTCCCAACTCATGTGAACAATCGACCAATACGACGAGGGAGCGGATCTAAAAACGAATAATATAAACAACTTGTCAAAATGAAGGGATGTTTAATACAAAAAATATAAAATTAAAAACAAGTAATGAATATGACAAAACATCACGAAGGAACACAAAATAAGCTAAAAATTGCAAGGAAAATAGAATTGGACAGTATAAATGTCATCACTCATTACATAACTATTCGTCATTGTCCCAAGAAAGTATGCCTAACAGCAATGACGATCAATGAATCATTTTTGGAGCTTAGGATAAGGTACCCATCCTTAAATTCATCATTGACTTCATTGGCCTATTTACGGTACCCTGTGCGGCACACAATATGTTAACAAGAGTGCCCCTGACATATTGACCTTGCTCTGCCTTCGTTTTCAAGGGTCGAGGACTCTCCGATCCACGTTACGATTATAAATGAAATATATTGGTCAGCATATATGATGGAAGTGCAACCATACATTCAATATAATCTATTTGAAGGCGAGGTGATGCGTGGCAATTAAAACGCCTTCATTTATTCGGGTATGCAATTATATACCGTAAGGCATGAATAATTGTATCGTCAAAGCCGTCCGTATCTTCAAACGAAGAACAAGGAGACAAGAGGTGAAACCCACATTGACTCGTAAAACCATTTTTTTTTTTTTAGTTAGAACTTTTTGAGAGAGAGAGACTAGATCAATATAACATACAAACGTACCCCCTAAATACATATGTTGCATACTATCGTGCATATTTTGATCAGAAATTTGTAAGCAGAATTTCTCTGGCTAAGCTGAAAATATTATTTTCCAAATGTAAAATGAAAATCCTGAGAGTGTCATTTCGGTTTCTCCAGTCTCTGAATAAAGATTTGTTTTCTTTAAACCGTTAACGTAACGAGCACTTTTAAAATCGTGAGCCCCACCCTCTTGGCCGCGCAGTTACCTCGTATGGCTCGACTAGGAAATAATTAATCGCCAATGGCTGTCCCAATTCGTACTCTTGAACAAAAAAATGAGTGGAAAAATTTGTCCGTCGTGCATCAAACCTGAAATCAAAATCGGACACATATTTGATCGACATCAACAAGAAATTGAAAGACCATGTCACTGACTGCAAGTAAAAATATGGAAGAGTCCACAAATGAAAACTAAATCAAAGGAACTTTGCCGTGAGGAAAATAAAATGGTTGTACAATGGTAACGCACGGTTGCTAAATAGTGCAAGTTTGGCTCTATTCATTAAAAATACAAAACAAAACAAAAATCAACTTACATTGCAGGAAGACGAGGAGCGGTGAAGTATATTTTTCCTTTTTTCTGCTCATAAATAGTGAATATAAATCTATGTCGACCTAAAATCAAAGATTAATAATTAAAATATAAATAAACACAATGAAAAAATAAAGATTGAAAACATGGTGGTCTCGGTGACGTTTAATTTTGATCTGTTTATTTTTCTGTCTTCGCCTTTTTTCAGTATTTTCATTTAATTTTTTCCTTTCCTTTTTGAGGTTCCACCCGGTTTTCACCAAAAAACTGTACGAGTATTCACGTCCATTCAAAATGCATTAGGAAGAGGATTTTCATTTTTTAGTTTTAAGAAAAAATACAAACTATATTACACTTTTTCCTCGCTAAAGCTATACTTAATCGCTCAGAACTTATATTCTGTAACTAACTGGACCTAAATCACTCAATTTCTGTGATAATATTTTTACCTCCTCTGATCTTCAGGTAATGAGGAGCTAGCGCTCCCATGTAGGGTGTCATGGTCTCTCCTGCCAAAAAACAGTTGCCAGGAATATTTCCCACAACCCAATGCTGCCACTCGCGGTACTTAGTCGACCCTTTTGGATCCGAGTCAGGATCTGAAAAACAGAACATTTGAAAGTAAACTCTACATCGTTAAAATAATGTGCGTCTGCACATAAGTAAAGTTCAGAATATAATTTATCTCAATTTCGTTTGAGTAATAATTTTATTGAGTACCTAACTTCATTCACACCGTAAATATGTATCGTTAAATAGCCTCAGGCCCCCTAGAGGCACTTACCTAAACTTTAAGGCGAAACGCTCCTCTGATGTTGGATTAGACATTTAGATTAGAGGATGAATCTATACGACCTCACACTCATTTTGGAGACAACTGGGGCAAAATGGCAGTCTCTTAGAGTCAAGAAAGACAGCAGTTCAAAGCGAAAAACAATTGCACCGTTGCTCTTTAAAAGAAAATCCAAAAGAGGCCAAACGCAGTTTTTAATTTAGAAATTTTCTACATACCAAAATAACTGTAGACTAAATTATCTGAAAGGAGGGAGGTCTCATATGTTTAAATTTGCAAAATGGAACGTGTTCGCATCCAATCCAAATAATCAAATTTTATGCGAACCTGTCATTATGAGTGTATAAAGTGTAGTATAATTCGATGGCCATTTCATTGAAACAGGCTTTTGTTTCACTTTGGACGAGTCAAGTATATTTCCAAACTCGACGACTACATTCCGAGCATATTCAATCTGGAAAATAATATCAAGAGAAGCCATGAAAAGAAAAGAAAGAAAGGGAATAAGAAAGTCATGAGCCACTAAGGCATGCCATGCCAAAGAAGCCATGGCACCACTTAAAGTGTAAAAGTTACACTGATAAGCATCGAGCTCTATGCTAACTTTTTGGGAAGAGTGAATGAAGTTCATATTTGCACAGTGATAAATTTCTCTAAATTGGGTGCTTCCTGCAGGTCAAATAGTCAAAAATGACAAAAAATTGAAGGAAAAGCTTCCTTACACTTACATATTTTCAACTGAGAATGTCGCCTCAGGAGTAATTATGCTTCTCATTTTCAGCCGAAAGATGTAGTAGGTTACAATGTATTGTTTCTTTTATTGTTGTGTCGCAGTATTATACACGATCAAACTCAGCACCTCTACATCTATGATGTTATCCTTCCTCACTAAAATATTGTATTGTAGTTTACAAATATATACACTAAATTACCTGCACAACAAATTTCGGGGCTCTTTCAAAAAAATCGGGAATAATATTTGCTTTTTTCAATCTTTCCTCAATTTGTGATCGATTGCAAGGTAGGTCAGCAGTCACAGACAGCATCAAACACTTTACAAGCCAAACGACGAACAAGGACAGCAATTGACAGTACGCTGGTAGGGTATACTTCAGCGATTGCATTTTGGAAGCCTGTGCACGGAGAAAAAAAACTCGTGCGTGGGACCCGAAGTTTAGGTCATATGGATCTCTGAAGTTTTCAGATTGAGCATCTGAACACTTTAGGTCTAGCTGCCGAAGTTCGGATCATACATCTGAAACTTTAGTTCTTACATCTGAAGTACTTCAGATGTGAGAACCGAAGTACTTCGGATGTGAGAACCGAAGTACTTCGGATGTGAGAACCGAAGTACTTCAGATGTAAGAACTAAAGTTCCAGATGTATGATCCGAACTTCGGCAGCTAGACCTAAAGTGTTCAGATGCTCAATCTGAAAACTTCAGAGATCCATATGACCTAAACTTCGGGTCCCACGCACGAGTTTTTTTTCTCCGTGTGGAAGAGTTCAAATAGAATTGATGGAATGCATGTTGGAATTGGCACTTGCAGGATATGCTTCAATGATGGAAATCATTAGTATGCATCAGTTAAAAGCTTTTTCTTTGCATTTATAAGTAAAAAAATGTGTTATTCAGTTTACATGTGTCATATTGCGCTCCGAAAATCAACAAAATATGAAAACATTCCAAAATCAGAAAATTTGGACCTTGGAATGGGGGCAAGGAGTTGGTAATTCAAATTAATAATTTACAATGGGAAGGGATCGGTTGAATTTAAAAGAAAAAAAACTATCATAATGCATTTTTAAATCGAGCTTTTGTTAAGAAAAGGTTCATTTAAACCTCCAATTTAATATTGAACCCCGTGCAAATTCGAATCAGAAGCTAGAGAGGATTTAACTCCCGTAATTTCAAGAGAAGATGGCACTGCGTATATAGAGCTCGGTTATTGCCATAATTTTCATCAGTCGACATTTATATGCTTTATGATCGAAGAAAATATCCTAAAAAATATTAAAAATATCCCACAGCCGCACTTACTGATTAAAAATGTGTTCAATCTCATCCACTCCGAAATTGAAATTTAAAATAAAACCTATACAAAAGCATGACAATTATTTCACTTTCAGCAAGATTCGCGGACATGATAGATTAGAGGATGCTGGTCGAAGTCTTTAACCTCTTCTTAGCTAAAAATGTCGCATTAGGACACACAACACTGCGCATCTCTATTTATCTACCCCTGAAATAATTTTTTCAAAAAAAAAAAAAAACACTGTTGACAAAGGAGCTCAAACGTTTAACTAAGACGAAACCGTTATAACATAAACTTATGCAATCCCTGCAACTTGCCTTATGCAACTTTTCTGTCAGTTTGTGATAAAAAAGAAAGAGTACAGTGTTGACGAAGCCCATTCATGATTGAGAGTATTATCATTCTGAATCAAGGGCACTAATAATTTACATAATATTGACAGTGCGGGAATGGGGGCCCTAGACTGTTTGACCCTAAATTCCCCCCGCTTATCAGTTATTAAGAACTTTTCGTGGGGGCGGGGGGGTAGAGGAGCCGCGTAACTCATCGATGGTAAGTTGGGGGGCACGAAAGAAAAACACTCCTTTCGAGAGGGGTTTGCGGGGCTCCCCTCGTTCCAGAGGAGGGTCTTTTCCCAACTTAAAGAGAGGTCAAGGGAGCTTCAGCCGAAGAATTGTGAATTTGGTCGTCTCAGTAGCAATTTTAAACTATCCTCACCAATCAGCGTAACTTAATTCCGCGTGTGAGCCGTGGAAAGTATGCAAAGTCAAATGGGCAATAAGACCCATCCCAGAAGTCAATTACGCCCTTATATCTCTAAGAAGCGGCAGTATATTAGATGAATTGTAGTATTTCACTTAAATTTGAAAACAATGTTGGAAAAGCCCGAGGTCAATAACTCCTGGCAATACGTCATCTGAGTTGCGTGTATGAAATTGGGTATAGAAGAAATCGAGTCGAGCTTACGCGCTGGCTGAGGCAAACAGTGGCGTGGCGTGAACTGCGATGTATCGATTGTTATGCCATTTAAACCAATGGAAAAGGATCGATTAACAGGGTGTTCGCAGCGAGCGCCTTTATAATCGATTCTTTACCATAGATTTAAATGGCATGACAATCGATACATCGCAATTCACGCCACGCCACTGGAGGCAATGTGCGTTTATCAGCACGAGAAAGGATCGGGGGATGGGGGGGGGGGCAATGACGGAAAAAAAATAATGCGGGAGGAAGTGAAGAGTGCTAAACTATGACGTAGCGCCGGGGTTCCTCTTAATTGAATGGGACATTCCTCGCGTAAAATAATAACAGCTCATTACGATGAGGTCAGATTCTCACTCTCAGCAGGCAAGGGTAATTTTCATGCTAGCGGCCGCGACCACTGCCACCATTTTGAGCTGTAATTTTCATGATTCATTCGTGGGACTGTACTAGAAATTTATTTTTTTTCCTCACGAGAGTGGCAGCCCTGGACACGATCATCGGCAAATGTCATTCATAAGTTCGTGCCACGGCCCATGGTCTCGCACGGCCATGCCACTGAAGAACGTCGTATGAACATTCGAGAGTTGCCGAATTTGCCCGGATAAAACATGTATTTGTTGAAAAATTATGCATATTTATCCTTAAAATATTCAGATATTTTAGCGCGTTTAGATTACGCACGAAATTGTCTAAAATTTTTGAAGAAAAGTATTCACAATTTTTCTAGTAAATCATTTTTTATGAAGAAAATATGGCAACGTCTGACGGCTCATACGACTTTCTTCCTTAGCACGGCAGCATGGCTTATATTACTAACTATACCCTCGCGTTACCATGAAATGGTGGTTATCACTGATTCGATTTCATATTTTACGAATTACTGTTGCAGCGTACCTGTAAACCAAAAACTCCAAAAAACCCAAAAACTTGGGTAAAGAGACTCCGGGCAAGTCACCATCCTCTTGCCAAAAACCTCCAAAAGCTCTTGTTTGTTCCCCTCTTCAGTGGAAAAAGAAAATATCACACTACGACAGTTTCCATTTCTGTCATAGAGTACCCCAAACGGACCAAAGAACGGAACTCTTAGTCGTTTACACATTTACCTATTTAACAAAATCTCCAGGAAGTCACAGACAGGCTGGCAGCCCCTCATTGGACCAAAACGCACACCGTACCATTTTTCCCTTGTAGGTATGTGCCTCCAAAGTACATGAAATGACTCCTTGAGGGGCGGGCAAGTTTGATTGAAATTCACGTTGTCTTCTGAAAATGAGCTAAAATTTTTACCTTGAAGAAGAAGAAAATCGAGTTATCATTTTCTTGCATACACGGTAGGTATGCCTATGAGAGGCACCAGGAACGCCTTCCAAAATTATTGATGGAACCCGCACGACTCCGAAGTCAGCGGAAACTTTCTTGATGCGTCTCCTAAGATTTTCCCTACGCAATAATCCCCTTCAAAAATGAATGATGCAACAAGCGCGTCCTGTTTGACCACGAAAGCTCCTCAGATGAGAAGTCTTTTGGTCTGGTCAGAAAAATATTCGAACTTTATTTTTCATCTTCTCTTCTCATTTCCCGCATTGACGGAGGCGAAATTTTTTGGAAAGCATGACGCGCCCGGCCCAATGCGTAAAAAAAAGTGCGAATAGAATATGGCCTTCCATTATGAATGATCGTTCAGGAATACTTGTACAACAAAGACGGCACTGTTTATTTGGAAGTGTACAAAGCCTCCTCGTAGTCATAATTGACTTTTTCCATTCTGATCCCGTACTATCAGTTCGGAAATTGGCCTCATTCTCAGTGAGCCCGAACATCTGTTTCCTAAATATTTTTAGCAGTCTATCTACAGGTTGATCCTCAGTGAGAGCATTGGGCCGGGCGCGTCATGCTTTCCAAAAAATTTCGCCTCCGTCAATGCGGGAAATGAGAAGAGAAGATGAAAAATAAAGTTCGAATATTTTTCTGACCAGACCAAAAGACTTCTCATCTGAGGAGCTTTCGTGGTCAAACAGGACGCGCTTGTTGCATCATTCATTTTTGAAGGGGATTATTGCGTAGGGAAAATCTTAGGAGACGCTTCAAGAAAGTTTCCGCTGACTTCGGAGTCGTGCGGGTTCCATCAATAATTTTGGAAGGCGTTCCTGGTGCCTCTCATAGGCATACCTACCGTGTATGCAAGAAAATGATAACTCGATTTTCTTCTTCTTCAAGGTAAAAATTTTAGCTCATTTTCAGAAGACAACGTGAATTTCAATCAAACTTGCCCGCCCCTCAAGGAGTCATTTCATGTACTTTGGAGGCACATACCTACAAGGGAAAAATGGTACGGTGTGCGTTTTGGTCCAATGAGGGGCTGCCAGCCTGTCTGTGACTTCCTGGAGATTTTGTTAAATAGGTAAATGTGTAAACGACTAAGAGTTCCGTTCTTTGGTCCGTTTGGGGTACTCTATGACAGAAATGGAAACTGTCGTAGTGTGATATTTTCTTTTTCCACTGAAGAGGGGAACAAACAAGAGCTTTTGGAGGTTTTTGGCAAGAGGATGGTGACTTGCCCGGAGTCTCTTTACCCAAGTTTTTGGGTTGTTTGGAGTTTATATCATCTCATTTTTGCAAGAAAACTGTTATATTACCAAATTAAGTCTCCCACTTGTGAAGGAATTGGATTACATTTTAAAATAAGGAACCATTACCTCTGGCTCTCCCATAAAAGCACATATCTGCATAGGGAAACCAATAGCATGTATTCTGTTTCTAAAATGGACCAGAAATAGTGGCTCCTAATTGCAAAATGTAATCCATTTAATGCTTATAGCTATGAAGTGGATATCTCCTTGCTGTGTAGCAAAGTTTCTCGGATCCGTCTTATTTTTTTACACCCTTGACTGTCATTTTTAATTAATCAGTTCAAAGCTATTTCGACGATTAATCATTAATTGTTAGATCGAAGAAGAAATTTTCTTCGGAAAGCTATGGCTGAATTGACTTTACAACTGAACTTGTGAGAGCATCAAACTGAGGCAAATTTTGCAGAAAGTTATACATGGTAAGTGATAATTATTTCAACGCTCTCTTAGTTTTAAAAAGAGACGATAGTTTTAAAAATCAAAATCTACACAACTGTAGATATCCCTGAAAAGAAATACAATTGTAGAATCCCAAGAAAAGAAAAAGAAGAAAGAAAAGAAATACGAAGAAATTCAATGATAAATTTCAACTACGGAAGGTACTTATTTCAAATTAATTGCTCTAAAAATTGTTCCTTCAATGAGTAAATAGGCAACATTCTCAACACTACAATGCAATAGAAATAATTTTACCATGGAATTGAAATCCAAAGAAATAAGTGCTGCTTGAGTAATAGAAGTTTGGAAATCAGGGCATTCAACAGCTTCCCAGACCTCATTAGTGTTACAATCTAAAAATTGTAAGGATTAAAAGTGTCAAGCTCTCAAAATTTTTGTTCTCTGATTATCAAGAAGCCCTGCTAGAAATGTTCAGTGTCATTTTTATTTTTGTTTGTGAAAGGAAATTATTTTAAGATTTTTTGGCATTCTTGGTGTCCTCTGAGACTCTGAAAATTTTTGTACTTTATTTTTCATCAAATAATGAACATTTTCATTGTAATTTTTGTCTATTTAGGAGAGTACATTATTTGATGATTATCTTCAGTATGTATTAGATCTTTCCCCCAGCGACAAGGTTTACTGAAATTTTATGAGATCTATATAGTTCTCATAGGTACTGACCTGCATCATGGTCACTTGGTCAGTATCATCTTTGAGGAGTAAATGAAAACAAATTATTTTCTCTTGGTTCCTCAATTCAGGGCTCTGATGAATAAACCCTGTTTGACAACAATGTTAGTAGGTAAAATTGCTCCCTCCAAAATCCTGTAAGCGGTATCAATTTAGTGGTAAAGTTATCAACGACCCTCATTGAATCTCATCTGGTTCACTGAATTTCTGAGGGATAGACAGGGTGACAGGTTCTGTAAAAGTTAGGAAATTAAGCCCTCCTCACTGTGAAAATATGTCAGGTAGTTTTGCTGCGGAGCATTGAAATTCCTTCTCCCAGTAAAAAAATTGGACTTTTCAGTTTAAAGAGACTAAACACTTAAAATTAAGTCAAGTAAAAACTTGAAATTTTTGTGAAAAGAATTTTTATCTGAGACACCTAATGTCAAAAGAGGACATTCCAAAATCAGGGAAAAGTTAGTGACCACTACGCTTAAAATCCCAGAAAAGAATATTCTGCGCATCGAAGTCATTAATTACACAATTTTCAGAAATTATGTTGAATTATTTATCAGCAGAGAAATGA